CCTGTATACAAATGGATAGAGTCCCCTGGACTTGTGTATAAACAGCCATCTGTTGTGGCCCTGGCTAGAAAGCTTTAACTCTGGTCCCTGCCCCATCCTGTTGTCTGTGTTTTTGCTGTTAGACTTTTAGTTCCACTGTGTTTTTTCAAACTCCACCCCCAAATTGGTTAAGTTACTATTACCTTTTTTTCAATAGTCAGTCCTCATTTAATTTGCCAACATAGTTATCATTTTCTTTATTCACTGCCATTTCTTGCATCTCTTTCTTTTTGGGGGGCTGTTTTCATTTTAGTGAGGTACATCCTATAGTTTTTCATTTGTAGAAAAACAATTCTGGCTCTATCTTTCCTTACTCAGGAATAAGAGTATAGTTTTAGGATATAAAATTGTGGACTGTTACTGTACCTAAAATCTTCATTGGTCTTCTACTTCTCTTTGTCTACTTTTAGTTTATTTTTCATTCCTTTAATATATTTTTTCCCTTTGGTTGTACAGCATGTCCTCGAATAACTTTTGTTCAATGTTGTTTCCTTGTAATGTTGATGAGAAAAAAGAAAAATTGATTCCCAGCTGGGGCCACTGTCTGTGTGGAGTTTGCATAGCTGGGTGGATTTTCTCGAGGTATTCATTTTCCTCCCACATTCAGAAGATGGACATGTGAGGTGAATGGCATGTCTGCATTGTCCTGGTCTGAGTGAGTGTGGTGTGAATGGCCCCATGATGGAATGGAGTCCTGTCCAGGGTGGGTCCCCACCTTGCACCCTGAGCTGCTGAGATAAGTTGGTCACCTCAGACCCTGAACTGGAATTTTCTTGTTTTTATTCATCTTTCTTAAATGTATTTATAGCTTACATTTATTTCAATATTTAATATTAGAAATAGTTTGGGTCTTTCTTTTTAAGTTTGATATTTTGTGACCACAAATCACCAGAGGAACTTTACTCTTATTTATATGTATTAGCTTATGGTAAAATTGGTTTTGTTATATATCATTTCACTCAAAGTTGCAGTTTCCAAGAACCTATCAAAGACATTAAACGAGAACTTGATGTGGTTGAGACTTTTTTCCCTTTTGTCTTTGGAGTTTTTTACTAGGATTTGTCCAGGAAAGGTTTTGATTTTTTTTTTTTTTTTTTTTCTGATATGCACTAGACTCTACTAAAAACTGATGATGTGTGTCATTCATTTATTTTAGAAAATTATATCCAGTTATTGCCTCCCCCATTCTCTCTATTCCTTCCTCTGGAACTCTGATACATATTAGCTTTTCATTCTGTCCTTCATGTCTCTTAATCTTTCCTTATGTTCTATCTCTTAATTTCTTAATAATTTTAAGCTAACACACTATGGTTCCTTTATTTATTTCTATTTTCTTGTTCTTGGGATGCCAGTTCTCTTATGTTATATGTGATCACTCCTCCATGCAGTTTGTTTCTTCAAGTAGTTTCTAATTATCATTGCAAACTTAACCTTCAGCAATTACTCTGTTTCTTGGGATATCTTCTGTGATATTCCATGAGTCAGCCTATGTTATGGAAGAGGGATTTTAGGGGTACATTTCAAAATAAGGCCTACTGGGAAACAAAACACTATTTTGTGTTAGGTAATGCATGCTTAAGATAGAATATTTAAAAGGATAATACAGTGAAAAATAAGTCTCCTTCTCAAAACCAAGCCATCATATTCCCCTCCCTAGACATGTCTTAAGTATTGTTCCAGAGCTTTCTCTGCAAGTGCAAGCATGTGGATATGTACTTTTCTTCCCCACACTGATTGTAGCACACTACACAAATCTTTAACTGTTCTTTAATATCTAGAGAGCCTTTCATATCAGGATAAAGAGAGCTCTCTTATTCTTTTTAATATATATATAATATTCTATTGTATAAATATAACTTAACAGTCCAGTATTAATGAACATTTAAATTGTTTCCAGTCTCCTGTTTTGCATGGTACTACTATAAATTTCCATGTACATGTCATTTTTCTCATGTGAGTAAAATTATAATTATAAATTCCTGGAAGTAAAATTACTAAGTTTTAGGGTATGGAAATTTTTAATTTGGGTACTTATTTCTAAATTGCTCCTCAGAGATGTTGGACCTATTTACAGTTCCATGAAAATGCCTGTTTTTCATCCCCTTGCCAAAAATGTGATATTAAACTTTTTGGTCTTTGTCAGTCTGAGAATTTAAAATGGTATCTCAATATCGTTTTAATTTACATTTCACTTTCTCTTAGTGAGGTTGGAGATCTTCAAGAATTTGAGTCGTTTATGTTTTCTTTCCTGCAAATTATCTGTTCATATATTCTTTGCCAGTTTTTCAGTCGTGATATCGGTCTTTTCTTACAGATTTTAGGTGTTCTTTAAAAAAGTAAATCAGCCTTTACTGCAAATATTTTTCCTGATCCATTTTTTTACTTTATGGTATTTTATAAACCACATAGGAATTTTTGGTTTTATGTATTCAAATTTATCTTTTTGTGGCTACTGAGTTTTGTATTATACTCTTAAGACTTTTTGCACTTAAAGATTCTTTTTAATAATCTGTTGTCTCTTTAATACTTTTATAGTTTCAGGTTTTTTTATGTTACATTTGGAATTTAGTTTATGTGAAATAAGGATCCAGTTTGTTGATTTTTTTTACAGAAGGCTATTCAGTTGTCCCAAAAAAGAATCATTCTTTTTTTCTCTAACACTTGCAGTACTACCTTTACTGTTTACTAAATTCCAATAGATAATATTTAAGTCCATGCTATTTTTTTTTTTACCTTCAAATTCTCATTCTACATGGGCTCTGTAAATTGTATGGTTACCAGTAACATCTAGGTTTGTTATGTAGTGGAATGGAGGAGTATTGCTGACTTCTCAGTATGCAGAGAAATGTACTCTAATTAGACCTCAAATCCTTTCTCTGAGCAACCTATCCAATCCTATCTCTAGTTCTTAATGGTATGTTTTTTATAGTCTTACAGGAAAAAATAAAGAAAACTCACCTAATATACCTTTACAGAAGTTAAATGCTTCCTGAGGGAAATTTTAAACTACTTGTGCAAAAGACAATATAGTTTAGATGATGAGGAAATATGTTAATCACTTAATCATTCTTTTCTGTTCAAGAATTAAACATTTTGTCTAGAGTTAGAGTTAGGCTTGGATTATTAACTGTTGACTCACATTTACTCTTACTAAGTCAGCCATCTAGAACCAAAAAAATAACATGTTTTATGAAGTTTTGGTTTTACATTCATTCAGTGTTGAGGGCACCTTGAGGCAAGTTGGTGGAGAATTTTACTAGAAAATTTACTGGTATATATCAATATACTCAAAGATGGAGGGTTTTATGATAGTTATTTTTACACTGGTCATCTTCTCTCATTTTTACCATTTAGATGTATTTTATGATTTTTATTCTGAAGTACCCTGAAGTAGATTGACTTGTAGGCCAGGGAGGGGAATAAATGTTATAATAAAATGCTAATAAAAGGTATTGGTATATACATCTTTTACACCAATACCAAAGGTATTGGTGTATACATCTTAAATCAAATCGTTTCCAATTTGATTTAACAGGTATTCTAAAATACCCATTAACATGAAGTTTTGTAATTAGTGAAATGCTCTACTTTTCAGGGTTGTCATTCCATCTTTGAGTTTGTGGGTCCTCTGTGTGTTTTCTCAAGGTGCATTACTGTGTTTGAGTAGTTAGAAGTGGAAGCAGCATTTACCAATTGTCAGTAATTTTAGGCAAGTCACTGAATATATATATATACACACTCCTCTGAATTGCTTTTTTCAATATATCATAGACTTCTATATCCGTACACCTAAAGTTGTCTTATTTGTTTTGATAGCTGTGTACCATAAATTAATGTACTATAATTTAACCAATTTCATGATGTAGGAAATAAGGTTGTTTTATTATGTGCTTTAAAGAACTGAAATGTCTTTTTAAATCTATATTTAGGAGATTTTGCTTACCATAAGTGAATTTGTTTAAAGTAAAGGCTCAACCTCTAGAGTTTCTCTTTATCTGTAACTGCAGCTAATTCATTTGGAAGAAATTTATTATGTTCCTACCTCATGCCAGGTACTGTGTTAGGCATTGAAGACGCAGAGATGAGTAAGACAGTTGCTGCTCTCAAGGACATACTGGGAAGGGCTCGTTTCTGTCAGCATACAAATCATGCCATTCCTCCCTAGAGAGAGTGGTTTCTAATTCCTTGGACAAAATGATAATTTTGTGTCAGTCAGAAGAACTGTTCTTTATAGCCACTTCTCCTGTTTCCCCAAAGCCAAAACAAATGAAACTTTTATTTTCTTCAATAGATAAGTGTGAGTAATCGGGTGATACTTATTTTAAAAATGGGTCACATTTCT